CTTAGAATTGTACTGCATGTTCTACCTTGATAGTACCCAGGCCACAATTTCTATTACATGTATACAAATGGCTTCCTTGTCACAAATTTAATCAGATGGCCAATTTACAAAATTTCCCCAAATTTAAGCAGATAAACATGGAAGAATTTGGCTTTTGCCTAGAGAATCTTGCGTAGGTTTGGGTGACTCCTCCCAGAGAAACTGCCCTCCACATAAAGAACTCGGGTCTACTTTTAGACCTGTGTCAGTCTTACTAGCTCATCACAGCCTCCATAAGAGCCCTTAACGCAGACTGTGGGAGGCCATTGTGAAAGAAGACCTCAGAGTAGCGAGGGATTAGGAGAAAAACCTATCTGAATGCTAGACTTTTCCTGTATGAGAGGAAAACATAAACACAGGTGCTCTCTCATGGTAACTTTCTCTTTTACCTTACCATAAATCCTCTGAGACTCTGTCTTCAGGTCGCTAATTAGTTTTTACAGCTCCCTGGTTAGCTCTACATAGTCCCTGTTACAGCTCTGCTCAGTCCTCACAGCCAAAATCTGAACAATTATATGTTACACTTTTCAACCCATTCTCACAGCACAAGTCCCATAGTTTCTCTTCGGCTAGGAAGGTCACTTTCACCAGTGTGCAATCAATCATACTGTGGTTTTCTACCATTCCTTTTGCCTGCATCTTTACTAAATGAGCCCTGCTCATTTCCGTATCTCTCCAATCAGTTTTTATATGATGTGGTGTAACCTTCCTTAAAAACTGTATTTTCATATTGTATCCCAATCAAAACTCTTCCATGCAGGAGGGAGGGCCTTGTAATCGTCCACCCCAGCTGGGGAGCTATTGATACTGATAGCCTCCGGGGAAGGAAGAGTCGATCTTTAAGGGTGTAGCCCCTCGTAAGCTGACCATGCTCCAGTGGACTGCCCCACACCCATGAGAATATGAGCAACACAAATTAGACTAGATGAATTATTTTTTTAATAAAGGACAAAAAGTTGGGAAGGAGTGGGTTAGAGTTAAGAGCAGTGATCAAAAAATTGTAATTCTCAGCAAAAATGTATTTTAAAACTCTTAGGCTGAAGAGTCTCAGCAAAAGAATCTCAAATGATGGAGAAATATTTTAATAAATGTTTAACGTCCTTAGTCACCAGGTAAATGCAAATAAAAACAACTCTAAAATTAAAAAAAAAAACAAAAACTCAGGCTGCAAAAATGTCTCAGCACTTAAGAGCACTGACTACTCTTTCTGGGGATGCAGGTTCAATTCCCAACACCCATATGGGAGCTCACAGTTGTTCATAACTCCAGTTCCAGGGGATCTCCACAGGCACTAGCTATGCATGTGGTACACAGACATCTATGCAGGCAAAACTTCCACAGAAAAAAATTTTAATCTTCCACACGTTTTTATTTTATAAACTATAAATGCAGTCACATAGCACATACTAGCTAACATTAATAATATATGTTATAGTCCCATAGATTTTAAAGAGTCTGAAAATCATTATCATCTAGTGACGTCTATGGTAATGTCATACTTCAGACCGTTACTTATATGTTGGCAGTGATGCCAGTGTAAACAAACCTACTGCAAAAATACAGCACATACATCTGACACAGTGCCCAAGACTTGGAAGTGATAAAAGGCTTTACAATACTGTAGCTTTGACCACCATTTCAGACTGTACTACTTAGAAAGTTTACGCTGAAATAGTATGCTGTTTTTATGCTGGTAGCAACTTCAAATCTGCCCCCTCTGAGAAAAGGTCTGGCTATATAGCCCAGGCCTTAAGCTTGTAGATCTTCCTTTCTCAGCCTCCTGAGTACAGGATTCATAGATCCCTCCCCACACCCGGCTTATCTACTCTCTTGATTGTATCTGAAGTCCATACTGTGTGACTGATGCGCCATCTTGAGTTTGTATGAGTCTAGGGTTTGTATGAGTACAGTCTCATCTTCACACAATGAACCCTGATAGCTCCATATTTGCTGGATTCCAAAGACCTCCATACTCTCCTGGCTCGAGCCTATCTGTGTTTAGTGTCTCCCTCAAACGCTGCCTAACCCCAACCACCAATCCTTAGGTGGTCTACAGCATCTCTAAATGAGTAGGTTTAGTCATTTTATTAATAAATGCTTATAAATAAATGAATCTTCTTGCCCCCTCAAAAGGGATTTCAATGCTCTGAACACACTTGAGTTCTCAGCCTGTTGTTTAATTTAGACATTTGACTCTTCATTTTTCTATGTCAGCGTCCTCTCCTTAATCAGACCTGATGCAAATTTGGAAGTCCTTGACGGTGATGATGTCATTCATGCTGGTGTCTGTAGCTTCAGGGAGGCTCAGCAATAAACCCTTCTCTAGAAGTGAACTTTCCTTGCGGTATGGCATCTGTGTGTGAAAATGTATGCCAACAACTATCATGGTTATGGGGCCTTTACAAATATGAAACTGGGGTGGGGGTGTGGCTTTATTGGTAGAGAGCTTGGCCAGCATGCTTGAAGGTCTGAGTTTAATCCCAGCACCACATAAACCAGGCATGTTTATGTCCATACCAGTTTAAGGCCAGCCTAGCCTCTGTGAGAAGAGACCCATTCTAAAGACAGAGAAGCCAGGGAATGGGAAAAAAATAGCATTGGTTTCAAAGAGGAAGTCCGTGGCTTGGACTTAAACATATCTTTGCGACACAGCTAGATGGTGACAGTGGCAGTGGAAGCAAACCCTGTTTCACCATTTCTGAAAAAGATAACGAGGAAGAGAAGCAAGTTTCGTCTTCGACAACTGCATCTTTTGACTGAAATTTTTCTGGAAAGGTAAATTCAAGGCCCTTCTAATCCATACTAAGTAATTTCTCATCAAAGGACATTTTAATTTTTACTTGGTGGTTTCTGGTTTCTTATTTGGTGGGTGAAGGATTGCATTTGAATGACTGTGGCACAGGTCTCATAGGTAAGTCCCTTGTGCCAGATCAGACTACAAACACCATTGTTTCTGGCTCAACTTCCTGCTTCTGTCACATGTTTGGATTACCATTATTTTCTTATGAAATAAAAAAAAATATTTGTGGTGTGTGTGTGTGTGTGTGTGTGTGTGTGTGTGTGTGTGCGCGCGCGTACATGTTGCCAAGGACAATTTTAAGGTCGGTTCTTTCCTTTCACCTTCACATGGGATCCAGGAATTTAACTCAGGTTTCTAGAGCTGTGAGGTATGTGCCTTTACCTGTTGAGCCATCTTGCTGGCCCTTATATTGGTAGGTTTTTTTGTTGTTGCTTTTGTTCTGAGGCAGGGTCTCACTATGTAGCCCTGCCTGGCCTAGAACTCAGGCTGTCCTTGAACTCCAAGAGGTCCGCCTGCCTCTGCCAAATGCTGGGATTAAAAATGTGAGTCAACCATGCCAGACTTGTTTTAGATTTTGGGGACAGCCTGTGTAATCCACGCTAGCCTTGACCTCATGGCGAGTCTCCTGCCTCAGTTAGGCAGTCTCCCAAGTGCTGGGATTACAAGTGTGTGCTACCACCTCTGGGTGTATTATTGGTTTTGCCTCCTGGATTTGTAAGTAGCTGTTTCTCTGTGGTGCTGTAAGATGATCTCGTCTGCAGGGTAGAGTGGCCTCAGTTGTTTTTATGTGATACTATTTATTTGGATTCCCCGTTCGAATAGAGCCACCGCTGGGAAAGCAGAAAGTCATGAGTAACTTTAAATATAAGATGTAGTGGAAATCCCCATCCCTCGGGAAGAAAACATTTCAACAATTTAAATATATATTTACAGAAATTACAAATATATATTATAATAAAATACAAGATGTGCTAATATTTTATGATGTTCTGAAATGAATACTATTGACTTGTTTTGTTTTTTATTTAATTTTATTTTGAGACATGATCTAGCCCTGACTGTCCTAGAACTCACTGTGTAGACCAGGCTGACCTCGAACTCACAGACATCCCTTTGCCTCTGCTTTCCCAGGTGCTGGGATTAAAAGCGTGTACCACCTCACACGACCGACATAAATTTCAAAAAGAACCGACAATTGATAGAAAAATCATGATCCCTGCTGATTCTTCATGGACTACGGTTTTTCTGTTTTCATAGTTCAGACTTCTCCCCAAATTTTCCTGTCAGTATTTCCTTTTGATCTGACAGTGGCAGATCTGAAAGTGCTTGCTGAGTGACCAGATGCATTAAAGCGCTGCCTTGCTACTGTTTTAATGACACTTGGGGACAGAAAACCGAGTTTGATTCCCAGACCCCACGTAAAGGTGAAAGGAAAGGACTGACTTGAAAGTTTTCCTTGACAAGCACCCCCCCCCACACACACACACACCCCACAAAAGTCTTCCCCGGTCTAAAGATTGGGAACAATCACTTATGAGAGCTGATGGCTTAAAACAAGTGAACCGTTTATGACATTTTCTGTCTAAATAAATCACCTTCAAATTCAGCAGAAATTGTAGAGACCCCATTTTTTTTTGTCACAGGTTTGCCTAAATACTAATTAAAATTGGGGTCACCAAAAAATAACCAGGGTTGTAGCCAAAATTTTATACATACAGGCACCAGTCTCATTGTCGGTTATTAACGCATCGGAAAACGTTTGTGTAAGCTGGGGACTGGTTAAGAACGTCCATCCGTGCTCAATAACATGCTAGCAAACGAGTCTGCTGCCGGAGTTTCAGTTCTTTCTGGTCAACTCTAATTTGAAAACACGAACGGGAAATTCCCATAAATAGCAACTATGTTTTAAATAGCTTTTACCATGGTATATTGCTGTGATTATCGTGCTTTATTTTAGTTTTGGAGCCAATCCCTCTCTGTAATATTTTTCTAAAGGAAACTTCTCAGGTATGGCATGCGTACTGGTTGGTTCTGTGCGTCAACTTAGCACAAGCTAGAGTCATCAGAGAGGAAGGAGCCTCACTTGAGGAAATGCCTTCATGAGATCCAGCTGTAAGGCATTTTCTCATCTAGTGATCAATGGGGGAGGGTCCAGCCCACGATGAGTGGTGTCATCTCTGGGCTGGTGGTCCTGAATGCTATAAGGCAGGCCGAGCAAGGCCATGGAAGTAAGTCAGTAAGCAGCACCCCTCCATGGCCTCCGCATCAGCTCCTGTCTCCAGGTTCCTGCCCTGCTTGAGTTTCTGTCCTGACTCCATCACTAATGATGAAGAGTAAGGTGGCAATGTAAGTCAAAGAAATCCTTTCCTCTCCAGCTTCATTAGTAACAGCAACGAAGACAGCATGTATAAGAAAAAGCATGGTCTAGGCTGTCCAGGTTTGGGAACTGTCTTTGGTCTTTGACACCTGTGCAACATCTTGCAAAGTATCTCTCACAAACAGGGTGGAGAGGTACTGCAGCAGAAAGGACAGTCTCCCTAAAAATGTTCTGCAAGGGTTTTAGAAGTGTGTAAGCATGAACATAAAACGTTGAGCAAAACCCAGATCTGGCCTTGTACGGAAAGCAGTGTTTCAGGCAGCTTTATCAAGGACATGGTGCCGTGGCTAAAAAGCATCCACTCAGCTAGCAATGTGCACTAGGGATCCAGGAGATACTGCTTTCCTGCCCTTAGATGCTCTATCGTTTCTGCGTTTTGCCTAGCTGTGATGCTGTGCACCGCGTGCTTGTCTGGTGCCCACAGAGGTCAGGAGAGGGCATCTGCTCCCTGGGAATTAGAGTCACAGATGGTTGTGAGCTGCCATGTGAGTGTTGGGGATCATACCTGGGTCCTCTGGAAGAGCAGCAGCCAATGGTCTTAACCACCGAGCCATCTCTCCAGTCTCATCTTTGCATTCATTTTAATAATACCTAGAGACTGTTTAGTGAGATGCATACATGTCTGAAAAGCCACCATGTATCTCAGATTAAAGAAGTGCCGTATGTCATTCTGTGTAACAATGGAGGAGTCACCGGGTGTGTCAAAGCCACAGAGTGGTAGTGGGTTGGTGCCCCCCAAAGTTCTGGATGTTGCTTTGTATTTTTTGAGTGATAGATTGATTGGTTGGTTGACAAACTGATTGATTGATTGATTGAGTGATTGAATGAATGATTGATTGACGTTGGGTCTTATATAACCTAACAGCTAGGAGTTTTCTTAGTTTTATTTATTTGTTTGTTTGTTTTATTTTTATGTATATGCATGCAGTATTGGTGCAGGCCAGAAGATGGTATCAGATCCCCTGGGACTGGAGTTGTAGATGTGACCTGAATCCTTGTCCTCTAGAAGAACACTAAATGCTCGTAGTCACTGATCCATCATCTCTCCAGCTCCTTAGTTTTGTTTGGTTGTTTGCAATAGGATCTCAAATGTTACCTGGGCTAACTTGGACATTTGCTGCTTAGTAAAGGTTGACCTTGAACTCCTGACCCTCATCCTACCACCTCCCCAGAGCTGGGATTAGAGACATAGCCCACTACACCCAGCAGCTGCATATCCCTGAAAGCACAGAGAGCAATGCTAGGCTGAAGGGTTCAGATCTAACTTCTCTGGTCACTGAACATATCCAGGTGAACAAAGCACCTAAGATGCCCCCTTGCACCTCGGCGGTAGGATCAGCCCAGGGATTGCGCCGCCATGCCCAGACTCCATACCGAACTAAACAGTACCTGTTTTATTCTCAGGAGAAGACAGCATGGGATCTTCCTCCTCTACATCTAACCCCAAAACCAGTGAGTCCGGGACAGAAGTCACCGCTTCCCTTGGCACTTACAAAAGAAGGAATTGTGTTGAAAACTCCACAGGGGACAGTGTTCGCTAGAGCATTTCTGAGTTGGCCTTCAAGTTTACCATAATGCAGAAATCAGTGCCCCCAAGGAATAGAAAAAGGAACCAGAAAGACCTTACTGGCTCTCCAGACTGAGTAGATCAGCTAGTAGTTTAAGAAAATCTAGTTCATGTTTCTTCTTGTTCTCCTTCCTGTGGGTTAGGCACTAAAAAAGACACAGACAGATGCATGCACGCATATACACACACACCACATACATGGTTGGGGGAGATGCAGGAGAAGTTTGGCGAGTGCGGACTGAGGTCAAAGGATCCACATCTCCCCAGGGCTTCCCACTAGGCCTTAGGGAAACGCGGTATGTTATTTGTTTGTGTAAGGGCCACAGGGCTTTGGATACTAGCCCTGTTTCTTTAGTTCCTATACCATTCATCCTAACTCTTCATCTCATCTTAAAGGTCAGTCAGTTGGGGTGTAGCTCAGTGGTGGAGAGCTTGCCCTGGTATGCAAAAGGCCCTGGGTTCACTTGCCCAGCTCTGGCAAAAAAAGACCCAATGTTCTCCCCTCTACGGAGCGGTAGCCCACTTGTAAGTCCCCAAGGGTAGTGGAGGTACTTGGGATCTTATCAAGGAGTGAATGGCAGGAGAAGGGGCAGGGACACTGATCCCCCCAAACTGATCCCTCTCATGTTCTCTGCAGGCACAGTCTCCACGACAACCCCAGTGACCAGCTCTGCACCCTCTTCTTGCTCCATCCCCAAGTAAAGGAACACATTTATCCAAGTCATGCGGCACTGGTTTTTTTGTTGACTATTTTGTCTTGGGGCCTTATGAAGGGCAGTCTGGGTGTGAAAAGAGACCAGGAACAGTGAAAGAACTCAGTGTTTGATCTTAGGAGTATATAGTTCTGCTGCTTTGAGTGCGGGGGAGGAGAGAGATTGGGCACATCTCACAACGTAGCCCAGTTTGTTTTTCTGGCTTCCATTTGCCACAATCTTCCTGCCTCAGCTTCCCAAGTGCTGGTTTCTAAGTGGTATGAACTCAGCATTGCCCAAGATTGGAGAGATCACGAGTCCCCAGAACTACACAGTGCTGAGGTGTGGAGTCTTGAGGGTAGGACTGGGAGAGTCTCAGATGCCCCTGGGTGGGAGCAAGTCCATCAGCCCATGAGAGAGCCTAAGCAAGACAGTTATGCCTGGTTGCCGGGAAAGGCTCCAAGAGGCCCCTGCCAGCAGTTCATCTGCTCTCTCTCTTTGCCAAAACAGAAAGGAACATTTGATCTTGGCCTTTTTTGCTGGGGTCCTGCTGACACTGCTACTCATGGCCCTTATCTTCTTCATCATCAAGAGCTGCAGAAGAAGTGAGTGGTCTCTGGGAGATGAGCCTTCTCTTGCTGCCTCTGAGAACAGCATGAGCAATGAGGGAGAAGTGATGGAGAGAAGGCCTGCTCAGCCCACCCTCCCCGCAGGTCCACGTGGAGGCCCTCCCTGCTCTTCCTGGCTTCTCTTCCCCTATACCCCTACCTACTAACCTTCACCCAAGGTTGAAGGGAAAGGCTCCCCGCTGCTCTAGATTCCACGGTGAGCACGTAACCCTCTTCTTCCTGGCCTCTGCTGCAGGTAACTCCAGCACCCAGGCCCAGGACTCTCTCTCAGAGCCTCCCATCAAGGTAAGACCATGCCGTTGTTTTACGGCTGCAAGAGGGGAATGGAGAGTGATGAAGGTGGTGTGAAATTTGTTTGGGGGGAGTTGGTTTATTCTGTGTCATCTACATACTGGGTTACGGGCTGGGATATTGGTATCACTTTCTGGACTCTGGGCAAGTGACTCTTTTATGGGTTCTTCTTTGGGTCCCCAGTTATGGAAGCTTTTGGGACACCTTCAAAGGAGCACCTTTTACTGCAAATTCACTATTCCTCCTCTTTCTCCTCATAAGCTTTCATCCGCATCAAAGGAGTCACTTACCTATGCCAGCATGACTTTCAAGCCCTCGGGAGAAAGCAGCAATGGCTTGACTGGAAACCGCTCCCCAGGCTTGGACCCCACTGTCTACTCTGAGATTAAAGTAGCAGAGCCATCCCTGCCTCTCCAATGAGACCGAACGCAGGACCTCAGCTCAGCTCCAGCTACGTACTGCTTTCTGGCTTTGTCCTGTGTGTTTGCTTTGGTTGTTTGTTTCCTACAGACTTAGGAGCCCAGCCTATGGACAGCTGCAGTCAGAGGCATCCAGACTTGTTCTGGCAGTGCTGTCTTCTGTGAGGGAAACCACTGGTTACTTACTTTCCCCGCCAGACAAGAGGCTGCAGGTCCTTTCACTCTGACGGGCAGCAACAGCTCCTTGAGCAACTCCCCTGCACTTTCCAAAGGGGCACAGAGTTCAAGATAAAGAAAAATCACTGATGATAACCAGGGAGGAGCCCGCCAACCCTAGCAAACAGTCGAAGATTTTCAAATGACGGCAGCTCCTCCTCCAGGGTTGGTCCCTTCTTCCTCAGTACTCTGTCCCATCATCTTCTCCAGAAGTCAATATCAGAGTTCTTAACCAACACGAAGTCCATACTGTGTAAAACACTAGTCAAATGCGGGTTTCTCTCTCCTCTATAGAGTATTCAAGATGTGTGTGACAACCTTGGTTGAGAGCCAAATTAAAGATAATTTTAATTAATTTACCCCCAGAACAAAGGGACAATCATAGACGGCCCCATTAAAAATATCAAGAAGGTGCTCTTTAATCAGGCAAGCGTACTTTAAAATGTAAGTACTAAACTGGAAGAAAAATAAATGATAAAATAAATGTGAGGGCTGGTGAGGTAGATGAGGACATTTGCCACCACACCTGACAACTTGAGTTCGAGCTCTGGGACCTGCATGGTGGACAGAGAGAACTGACTCCTGAAAGTCACCATATAACCTTCACGTTTACTCTGTGGTGTGTGTGCATGTACACACACATGCATACGCACACACATACACACACACACACAATAAATATCAACTTGGCTATCATGACAGCTTTATCGTTTGGTTTTTAACTTTTGGCTTTTTGAAACAGGGTTTCTTTGGGAAACAGTCCTGGCTGTCCTGGAACTCACTTTGTAGACCAGGCTGGCCTCGAACTCCCAGAGATCCGCCTGCCTCTGCCTCCCAAGTGCTGGGATTAAAGGTGTTCGCCACTACCACCTGGTGATAGCATTCTTAAGACCTGTGCAAGACCAAGCACGGAGAGGTAAATTGGGCACAATCCCACCTAACTGAAGAACTCTGGGCAATTATTAGCTGCTGGGAAACAAACAGTTTTCTCTAAGAGTACAGTACCTGGTAAACTGACCATGTATAAATTCAATCCGTGGCCACTGGGCATGACTGGGACTGGTCAGAGGCGGAGGCAGAGCATTTCTTGGTGTTTGAGACTCAAATGGAGGAAGGCTACAAGTATGCAGGTATGATATCCGTAACCTTCCCCTTCCCCTCGGGCTGCTGAGAGACTTGGACTTTCCTCCCAATAGGAAGGAACTGGAACAAAGCCCAGAGTATCCTCATCAAAGGCTTTGCAAGAGACATGAGCTAATCTGACGAGATACACACAGAATCTGGTCAACCCCCAATCTCCATTCCAACCCCGTTCTGACCCAGCGGACCACTTGAGGATTCTGAGTCTGAGCCTGGTGGGCCTACACGCCATCAGACTGGACCATGGCATATTAAACTGTGGCTTCCTGAAACTAGGGAAATGCCTCAATCAGTAAAGGGCTTGTCTTGCAGGAACGGGAACCTGACTTTGGTTCCCAGAACGTGTGTAAAAATGGGGGACATGGTAGTAGTAGGGCATGCTTGTCATCCTAGCCCTGGAGAGGGAGAGTCTGGAGTGTCCCTGGGCTTCATGGTTCAGCTACCCTAGCCTAATCAACAAGTCCAGCCCAGTGAAAGAGACTGTTTCTTACAAGGTGGGCAGCTCCAGAAGAATGACATCTAAGGTAATCCTCCAGCCTCCACGTGTACAAGCGCACACATGAATGTGCACTTTCCCCCGCAGGAGGGCGGTGAAGGCCACGATGAAGCAGCCGGGGGGACACCGCATGAGGAGAGGGTTGCAGGTTGCAAGGAAGCACGTGGGGTAGCGGTAATCCTGCACCAATGATGCCACTCTGCTGGCTCCCGCAGATGACGATGCCTCATTCTTGCCTCGTGTTTCCTGATTTGAACAACCCTTTGGTTGCTTATGGGTCAGAGCAGAACCCGTTACTCTGGTGACTGGTTCCCACTGAGGATGTATTGGTGGGGGGGAGGGGCACCGTCTTTTCACCAAGGGGCTATGAGAACCACAGACTCAATCTGTGATAATTTGGATAGAACAGCATTTAATACCCACTCAGAAATGTGTTGGAATGTTATGCTTTTTAGGAAAATGTCAAGAAATACTTTTCCAGTGATGCACTAGGAGAAGTCAGTCATACAAAGGGGCTCTTTCAACACTATTCATATATTTATTGGCTGATAAAGTAAAATACAAGTCATTTCCCCTTGTCCTGGGTTCTGTGCCTCTTCTTCACGTCAGTGAATCTAATGCACGAGAGGTAAGGTCTGGAGATATTATTCAGTGGCAGCCTTGCTTGGCGGAATCTATCTTAGCTTCCCTGACCCCGCTGCTGTCACCTTGCAATGGAAGATTGCTTTAGAAATCCGAAAGGTCAGAAACAGTCTCTGAGATGCAGGCTGGTTGTCATGGAGATTCAACAGTAATGGTATTACTCTATTTGGTAACTAAATGAAGGAAATCTTCAGTCACGTGTGTTCAGTTTGAGCCATTTCCTCGAGTCAGGACATGTGGAAAGAACTTCAAATCGTAGCCTACTTTGTTGGGAAATAGAAAAGGAAAACGGAGTTGGAGGCTCTTGCCAGAGTGTCAGCCAAAAAAAAAAAAACAAAAACCCTACACACTTCACTTTTCTGAGCCTATTTTCCTCTCTTCTAAATTAAAGATTATTCTCATACTCAGGAATTTTTTTCAAACAAACCCAAGTATCCCCAGCCTCCACACTTCCCAAAGTTTCCAGACTGCAAAAGGCAAGGGATGCTGTGGGAACCACCCCTGGCACTCCTGAGCTGGCTGCCTGTGCACAAAACATCCACGTTTGGATTACTTATTTACTTATTTATTCTCCTCTCTCTCTCTCTCTCTCTCTCTCTCTCTCTTTCTCTCTCTTTCTGCGTGTGTGTGTCTGTATGTGTTTCTCTCTCCCTCTCTGTCTCTGTATATCTCTCTTCCCCCGCCCCCTCACGTAGAGGGGAGAGTGGAGGATACACAAGGGCTATGTGTTCCCAGAACACATGTGGAAGTCAGAGGACAGCTTGCAGTAGTTGCTTCTCTTCCTGCCATGTGAGTCCTGGGGCTTAAACAGGATTGGTGACAAGCGCCTTTACCTGCTGAGCCACTTTGGCAGCCCTGCAAACACTAAAGTTTGCTTTCAGGGCTGGAGTTTGATGTCATCTCTGCAAGACTGTAGGTAAAGCTGGGTACCGAGGGTTTGCCCTTCTCTCGCTGAGTTTTGATGGTATGAATACATCTGAACTGCCGGACCCAAGAATGACAAAACTAGAAGGGGCTTTAGTCCAGCCTGCTAAGTGTGTCCAAGTATGAGCAACAGGGCAAGGCTGGAACAGGCTGCTGGCTTCTTGCTGAGAGAACGGCACTGGGTTCTGTTCTTCCCTATTATACAGCATCCTATCACCTTCACTGATTCTACTGGACAAGCTTGCGTCTGTATTCAAGTGTGGTTGCTTGTGTTCCTCCACCTCACCACAACACTTTATTTTTGAGACAGAACCTCACTCTGCAGTCTAGGCTGCTCTAGAACTCATTTAGTCCAAACTGGCCTTGAACTCGAGATCCTTCTACTTGGGCTTCTGGGTGCGCCATGTCTGCCCTCCTGTTTTCCTTACAACATAATGTTTCTTACAACATAAGATCCATGAAGACAGGTGCTACCTATTTAGTTTGTCTTTGTAACCTCAGCACTAGCATGTTCCTAGTTTGCAAAATGGAGGATGCATGGGTGGGGAGGTGGGTGGGACACGGGTGGATAGATGGATAGAAAACTCAGAAGCATATAGGAACAAGGAGGAAAATGTAGAGCAAAAAACTGGCTTGGGAAAACAATGTTGCCCAGGGTCCTATCTTAAAGAAGTGATGATAATTTCCTGAAGAAAAAAAAAATACAAACAGCCAGCCGGTGGTGGCACATGCCTTTAATACCAGCACTCAGGAGGCAGAGGCAGGCAGATCTTTGTGAGTTCGAGGCCAGCCTGGTCTACAAGAGCTAGTTCCAGGACAGGCTCTAAAACAGTGAAATCCTATCTCAAAAAAAAAAAAAAACCAAAAAAACAAACAAACAAAAAACAAAAACAAAACTTGTAACCTAGAAGGAGCCTAGACAAGCCCGGAGGGGTGTTGCTCTGGTCATTTCCCTCCCCTCCACTGTTCCCAAAGCTTCTAGGGCAAAAAGGCAGGTACGCTGTGGGAGCCGCTCCTTTACTGTTTTAGATAGCTTGTTCTGTGTCTTCATGGGACCCAGCCCGCACAGGGGCAGCCTGAGACCCTGTAGCCTGTGGTCACATTTCAGATCCTGCTGGCCCTGGCCCCTCATGTGTCACTAAGAGGCCTCCCATCATTCGGATGCTACTTGGATTTGGTAACAGTATTGGGTTTCTAGTCTGAGGCTTTTGTTTGTTTCCTTCATATTAATCATTATTTCCTTGAAGTATTGTTTTTCTATGTTTCCAAACCCAGGAAGGGTGACTGGAATCCATTTTGTAACTATGGCTACAGTCTCTTCTTTGTCCAAGGTGTTTCCATGGTGTCCACTCATAAAAAGCCAAAAGCTAACAGCATCGCCTTGGCCAAACAAAGGTGTTCATGGTGTTCTTTTCAGTTCTTTATGGTGACCTAGAGAACTTTCCAGATGATAGGACCTGCCTGCGTCACAGGTAAAGACAGACGACCACACAGTCTCCTCTCTATGAGTGGAAAGAACTAACGACTGAGTTCCGAAGGCACTCACGACTCAGTACTGAGGAATCAAGGAGGGAACTTACCAAGGGTATGGAGATCACAGAAGGAACTTGGTTTGGCTGAGGGCTTCTAGTGATGCTTTTACCAGTATCTATCCAAGGAAAAACAAAGACAGAAAGCTGAGGTCCCTGGGCCCAACCACCTGCCGAACTGGGGGAGGGCGTTACAGAAACTCCGTCGTTAGACAAGAGCCTTGACCCCAATCCCTACAGGTGAACAAAAAGTTTCAAACAAAGAGTAAGGCTATGCCCCAATGCTTGTGCCGTGGTGTCAAGGAGCCCCACAGATACGGGTCCTGCAGTGTGGTTATCTTCCTTCTTTCCAGCCCACACCTACTTCCACTTAAGACTAAAGTGTTCCTTCAGTTGCTTCCCATGATGCCTTTGTCACTATGAGAAAATTCTATCCTCCTCAGCCTGCGGACTGACCAACTGCCTTGGTACCTAAGAGACCAGGCATCAAGAGGAGGGGCACATTTATTCATGACTCTACACCCGGCTTGCTTACCTCCTCCTCTATTCCTCATTCCTCTGGCTTCTCCTTCCCTTGGACAAACACTGATTATAAAGATGAATTTGCAAATGAATAATCATTATGCAAAAGATCAGAAGGGACAGTCTAGAAGAAATCAGATCAGATATCAGGTCGTTTGGAAGGAAACCCCTTTTGGTTTTCTTCTCACACCATCACGCCCATCCCAGCCCCAGTTGCTCCTGAGAGCTACAGTCTGTAAAGAGTGACTCTGTCCTTTGTATGAGTAATTCATTCCTTGGATCGGATGGGCATCTAACCAAGCTGGGCCAGTGAGTCCTTCCCCAGAAATGAAGTAGGGATGAGAAGTGGAAAAACTACAGTCTTCGGTCATTCTCTTGAATGGGGAGAAATAAACTGAGCAACTATAAATGGGTGAAACCTACTGTGTCAAAGAGAAAAAGAAAGATGGAGGGAAGGAGGAGGGTGGGAGAGAGAGGGAGATGGAAAGAGAGAAAAGAATACAAGCTGGATGATATAGCTCAGTTGGCGGAGTGCTTTTGAGCTGGGTGTGGCAGCACACACCTGTATCCCATTGCTCAGGAGGAGGAAGCAGGGGGAACAAAGGTTTAAGTCTACCTAGGAACTTGGGGGGAACTTTTTAAGTCTCAAAACAAAACAAAAGAAACAGAGGCCTAGAGAAAGCTCAGAGGTTCGGTTCCCAGCACCCACACTGCAGCCCATGAATATCTTTAGCTCCAGTTCCAGAGGATCAGGCTCTCTTTTCTTGACTCCACAAGGCTCCATGCACAAACGTGTTGCACATATACATATATGTGTATAAAACATTCATACACACAAAATAAAAATGAATCAGACTTTTTTAAAAAAAGAAACTAGAATTAGCCAAGACTGAGAGAAGGAAGCAAACGCACTCGAGACCATCAGATGGAAACTGAGCTAGAGATGAAGATAAAGTCCTTGGCTCCTCTTTTGCCTGCATGCCTGTCCTGTGTTTCAGACAGGTATTCTCTCCCTCTGGGGGGTAGAATGCCCCCCGCACGCCTTTAATCCCAGCACTTGAGAGGCAGAGGCAGGCAGACATCTGTGAGTTCAAGATCAGCCTGCTTTACAGAGCAAGTCCCAGAACAGCCAGGGCTACACAGAGAAAACCTGTCAAAAAAAAAAAAAACAAAAACAAAACAACAACAACAAAAAAGAAAACAAAAATCAATTGAAGTAACCAGAAGCTATTTTCTGCTTTCAAACAGAAATAGTCATTTTTAAGAAACCAAACAATTACAAGTAAGATACTTTATTTAGGCAGAGAAACAATACACAGATGAAAAGTAGAAGGTGTGAACTACTGTGTCGTGGCTCATCCCACCCCATCCCATCCCACCCCACCCCTACCCCATCATCTCCTCAGATCCCTACTCACTTGGAGTCCTCCGCCTTTAGGATAGTTTTAGAAGTCCTACAGCTCCGGGTCCTGTTCCCTGGAGGGTCTGAATCAGGAAGAAAGTGTTGAGAATAAAGTCCATTTGGGGACCCTTCCTTTGTCTCCAGCTGTATCCCCATCCCGTCTTTCTCTTGCTCTCCAGAGGGGAAGTGCCTTGCTGGCTTTTTGCACAAGACAATGACAACACTATTGTAGAAACATGCCCTGGACAGGGAGCAAGTCTGGGGAGAGAAGTAGGGGCTGGAATCCAACTCACAGTGCGCTAGCTAAGTCATACACCCTGCAACTGGATCCTCTGCACCCAGAAGAAGGGACACTTTTCCCAGATTTGCACAAAGGCCCTGGGCAGTCTAAAAGCATTCATGGTTAGAGACCCAGACTAGGGAAAAAAAGTCTTGATGTATCAAATAGCTAGACCCATCCTTAGGGAATGAGTCAATCTGTGACATAGTTCCTCTGATAAGATACTAACAACCCATCGGGGAGTCCCACATCACCTCCTCCATGTTTCTTTAAAGGAGCAAATTTAAACAAGACCCTCTCTTCCTGAACTAAAAACTCTAGAAACGCTATAAAAAGCAGACACGTACAAAGTGAAAACACAGCCAGTGTGGATGTTACCCACTCAGCGGGATGCTAGCCATATCAGTTACCAGTGGACTAACTGTGAGCAAGGCATGAGAACTGGAGAGGTGGTGTGGGGGTGAGGCTTCCCACTGATGGAGGAAGGTCATTGGTTAAATAAAAAGAAACTGCTTGGCCCTCATTGGTTAGAAGATAGGTGGGAGGAGTAAACAGAACAGAACGCTGGGAGGAAGAGGAAGTGAGCTCAGACTCCACAACTCTCCTCGTGGGAGCAGACTCCTCAGAGAGACGCCACGCTCCCAGCTCCCATGCTCCCAGCTCCCAGGCAGACGCACGCGATGAAGCTCTGACCCAGGATGGACATAGGCTAGAATCTTCCCGGTAAGCGCACCTAGGGGTGCTACACAGATGATTAGAAATGGGCTAAATTAATATGTGAGAATTAGCCTAGAAGAGAATGGGCCAAGCAGTGTTTAAATGAATACAGTTTGTGTGTTGTTATTTCGGGCATGAGCTAGCAGGCGGCCGGGGTGACGGGGATGCAGCCCCGCCGCCCTTATTACTACATCCCACAAGTCCTTCTGGTGGGGTTTCCTATGGTCACTGCGCTCCAGCGACTGAAATCACATCACTTTTCTAAATGTGAACAACAAGAGAACAGCTAGTGCTTTCCACATTTCTCTGCCTGGAAGACAGGGGCTCACTGGTACTGAAGAGTTTTCCAGGCTCCGGAGAAGGGGCCTGAGAACACGAGAACACTGGGAGAGGCCGAGAGTTAGCTCCAGCTCAAAATCGCAGTCTGGCTTAGGCAGACTTTACCCCCTGGTTCCTGTCCCTCCCAGGATCCTCCTGCATTCCACATGAGTAAAGATGGGCGCTGGCAAGTTTGACCGCTCTATTTAACTTATATTAATTACTGATTTTTTTTTTTAAGCTGTGCAGTTTCGAGAAACCTCTCTTTGCGGCCTCAGTTACGTCTCAAGCCAATCTCCAAGGTTCTAGACCTGCAAGGCTGAGATTTCACTACAACCTCAAAGCCTTGACCATCAGGTCAAAGATCTCACGCCTATGAGACCTTCCAGAACCTTCCAAGGTCTGCGAGCCAGGCTGTTGTGAAGAAAGGGAAGTTACAAGCACACCCAGGGCTCAGATGCGCTTCTTTCCTACGAAATTCTACCCAGCTCTCACCCCCCACCACAGAGTGGAATTGAGAGAGCTGGTTACCTCAAGTAATACAAGAGGAACTTGAGTTGGTGGCCTCTGCCTTTAGTGAGGTGGTTTTTGTGTCTTTATTTTGAGACAGGGTCTCACTTTATATAGCTCTGCCTCGTTTGGAACTCACTCTGTAGACCAGGTGGCCTTGAACACCCAGAGATTCACCTGCCTCTGCCTTCTGAGTGTGGGGATTAAAGGTGTGCACCATCAGACCTGGATCCTTTAGTGAGTTTTTAGTGCCTCAAGGAGCACTTATTGCCCTCCAACCATCCCTTGCCAGTCTCTTTACCAGGTGGAAAAACACTGGCCCGGCCATCTCTGCTGTCAGTTACAATCAGCTGTGTAAAATCCATGACATCTCTGGCAAAATCCCGTTGGATGCCACACCAGTACCAGTCTGTGTCCTCCTTGACCAGGTAGGACACAGTGATGATGAGTTGGCTGCCTGTGTCCTTCGGGGCCACACGGTTGGTGCTGTTAGGGGTAAAGGCGATAACATTGCACGAGTCCCTGAAATAGCCTCGGCACCAGTACTTGGTGTGGTTCTTGTAGTGGGCATCATAGCTACAGTTAGCAGAAACTGTGTCCAGTTCAATACCTGTCTTCACCTTTTCATCCATGACCATGGTGTCTGTGAACACACAAGCACACACACATATACACACAGAGTTCATTATTCTTGGAAACACACTGAACCCCCTGCTCTCCTGGAAGATAATTGAAATTTGGGTTTTGTCCATTTGAATTTGGTCACTATTATGAGTATCCTTCACATGTTGATCCCTTAATCCCTATACAGAATGTGATGTGACTGCATTTGGACACAAGACTTTTAAGAAGAAATTATTTAAAATTAGAAAATTAGGGTGGCTCACTTCAAGAAAAAATTTTAAAGTTTTTTTTTGTTGTATTTTATGTGCATAGGTGTTTTTCTGCATGTATATAAGTGCAGAACATGTGTATGTGACTGCAACACATGTATGTAATTGCAACACGTGTGTAAGTGTATCACATGTATATAAGTGCACCACACGTACGCCTGGAGCCCAAGGTCATAAAAACATGTCCAATCTCCTGAAACTGAAATTGTAGATGGTTGTACGCTACCTGTTGAGCCATCTCTCCGATCCCCATTATGATAGTTCTGAATTTAATATGACTGGTATTCTTATTTAAAAATTTAAAAACAGATGAAGTTAGAAAAAATCATATGAACACACAAGAAGGCAGCCGTCTTCAAGGCAGAGAGAGTCCCCAGAATGACATCGACTCTGAAGAAACCTTTAATTTGAAGATCTGTGAGAGTTGATCTTGATGTGGGCTTGATTGGATTTGGGATGCCTAGATTAATCAAGCATATGTCTGGGTGCCTCCACGTGGGTGTTTCCAGAGAAAACTAGCTAAGGGGAAAAGACTTCCCCTAAACGTAGGCAGCCCCAATTCATGTGCTTAGAACCCATAACTGTTGGAGAAGTCTCCTCTACTAGCCTGAGAATGCGTGAGATGCAAGGAGCCTTGAAGAACTTGAGGTTTGTTTTGCCATCTAGCCCCTTAGCTCTGCCCCTAAAGGCAGCCACTAAAGGGAAGCGAAAGGTTAGGAGGCTCGCTCTGACTGAAAAGGACTAAAGATAAAGGGACCTGTGATTTTAGGGGCTGAGAGCTTGCCATGCAAGAGCAGTGTGGGCATCTTTATCATGTCAGGACGTTGTATAAAGAGGAAGTCACACATGCAACATCCGGCTTTACCGTAGCTGGGAAAATATCTGATCAGAAAGGAGAGGTGTGACAGCAGAGCCCATTGCTCTCAGCCTTCCCAGTGTGTTCTGTGAAGAACCCACACCCCCACCAAGAGGCTGCTTCCGCTGTGTCTTACAGGAGATAACACATTCCTCCAAATGTCAGTCTCCTCTCATCATAACCAGACAAGAGGATCTTGTGATCCTCAGTTCATAGTCAAGGATGCTGACCCACAGAGAGCTGCAGTTAGGTCTAAAGGGAGCGCAACTGGGAGGTGGGATAGCTTGGGGCAAGTCCCATTTCTGGGTACCATCTTTGGTGTCAGACTTAGGCAGAAAGGAGATACGCATATCTGCCTAGATCCAGGCAGACATAAGAGGGAAGAAAGGAGAAGAGAATGGGAATTGGGGTCATTGTGGGGGGAGGGGGGAAGCACTGCAGAGCTCCAATTTTAGTCAAGGGATACAAGTTTGCCATAACTCCTTTATCAGAGGTAAGGGTCTAAGATCTCGTAATAGGACCTGTTAACAAGACGTATTTTCACCTTCTCTTATCCCATAAACAGCTGAGGTGCTTTAAACAGCTACCCTGAGGAGGGGCGTTAAGTAGAGGAGAATAATGCTGCCCCAGAAGGTTGTGGCTTAGAGGGCGAGGTGTTCCTTACCAACATTTACCTGAAAAGAGGGCCAAGGAGAACATGACAAGCTCCATGGTGAGAAGGAAGCAAACTTCAGCTGTTAAGAACAGAGGATCTCAGGGATGCTGGATCTGCATGAGGGAAACATATGTTTAGATTTAAGGTGGTTTTAACCCGCGTGAAGGGAGAACCGCCGGTTATTCTAAGCAGGGCTATTGTGCAGGAGCCAGCCGGGTTGTGTCCTGGGACGCACCAGAGGGATATCACTCATGAATAAGATGTCTTTGCATCAATTGTGAACATCTGCGCTCCCAGCACTGCCCAGAGCAGCAGGAGAACCTTGATTAAATCCACTTGGCGTATACACTTTAATAGACACCCAGAAGAGGTATACACATTGCTACTGGAACATGTTCATGTGGGCAACTGTACCCTCTCTTGATGTGTGTGGCTGTGCCTCTTGTCCCTCCATCATTCTGAGAGGCCCAGTTCATTTTCACATGGGAGCAATTCCAGCAAAGAAATCCTTAAGTAACTTGAGTCCCAAGCTACAGTGAAGACCTAGCGAGTGTGGTTAGAGGTGAAGCTCATGCCAGCTGCCAGAAGCATGTATGCCTGCAAGCCAGAATACATGAGTAGAGCAGTCAGCATCCGGGGCTGGGGATTCCAGACTCCGGAAAGCTTTTCTGAATAGAACTGGGACCCATCAAAGACGCCTTTCCATGCAGTAGCAGCAGCAGCTTCTGATTCCTGACAGATGCATGCCTTCTGACCACTAGTTTTGCAGGTTCGAATTCTTGAACCACCCTAAATTCCCAAATTTAAACTGGGTGCTCCTTATCACACCCTAGAGCTAGCACTTCCTTCCAAGGGACGGATGTAGATGACTTTTCTATATTGTGTAATATCATCCTTTCCTGAGAAAAGGGGAGCCTCCCTTTAATTCACGAAAATTCAGCATACGCACTCGCGCCAAGCTTGCACCACAATGTTTTTTTTTTTTTTACTTACATTACATTATCTGCTCCTCATTGGTGATCTCTGTTTCAACCAACAAAATGTGTTGGACAAAAAGAAGACTAGTAAGAAGAATCAATAGATTCAGTGAAGTTGAATGAAATGTATTGGCTAATGACAACATATGAAACTCATTACAGTGCCAAGACAGTTGATGCTGTTAATTGTTCATTTGTTTTAGGTATGTTAATGGTTTCATCCCAGCCTGTTCTAGTTAGCCTCTCTGTTGTCATGGTCAAAAAAAAAAAACTGGCCAAAAGCAACTAGGGGGAGAAAAGGGTTTATTTAAGCTTAGAGATTACAGTCTGTTGTTGAGGAGAGCTGGGGCAGGAGCTCAAGGCGTGAACTAATGCAGAGAAGACCTAAGGAAGCCACTTCTGGTCTTCTCTTCCTAGCTTGATCAGCTACCTTCTTATATAGCCCAAGACTACCTGCCCAGGGATGGCACCACCCACAGTGAACTGGACCCTGAAACATCAGCTAACAGTCAAGAAAATACCCTCAGCTGGGCGTGGTGGCACCTGCCTTTAATCGCAGAACTGGAGGCAGAGGCCCAGGCAGATCTCTGTGAGGTGGAGGCCAGCCTGGTCTACAAGAGCTAGTTCCAAGACAGGCTCCAAAAGCTACAGAAAAACTCTGTCTCAAAAAAAAAAAAACCACACCAAAAAAAAAGAAAGAGAGAAAGAGAGAAGAAAGAAAGAAAGAGAGAGAAAGAAAGAGAGAAAGGGAAAGGAAATACCCTCATAGATTTTGCTCACAAGACCTCAACTGAGATTTCTTACTCTCAGATATATGTAGGTTTATGTTGATAAAAAACTAACCAATCACACCAGTCAGGTATACCATGTCCTTTGATATAAATGATCTTATGTAGCCCATATGAAGGTGAGTCTGGGCTGGCCTTCAGGATAAACAAAATTTGGCAGAAGTATGATGTGTGTCTTTGAAACACAGTCCAGCTTCTGCCCCAGTCTCTTGTATCTTGAGTGAGTTGGCCACCATTTATGAGGACTCAAGCAAGCAACAGAAAGACTTACATGAAAAGGAAACACCTTGCCAATGTCACCTTATCACTAATGCCAGAGTCACCTTGGTAGTGGCCATGATCAAACTTTCAGGTGTCTGACCCAGTAATCTCATGCGATGTCATGAACATGAACCGTCCAAGAAGATGTTCCTGAATTCCTGACCCATACGGACCAGGAGCAGATAATAAAGGCTTGTTTTCTTAGGTTCTGCAGCAAATAATAATTCTAAGTTTTTAAAATGCGGTCCTTATCTTTGTCAATACTTATATGCAAAACTGATTAGTTTGTTCAGAGATGGCACAAAATGGTCAAAGAAAATGTCATTAGAAATAGAAAAGAAGAGAATATAGTAAATATCAGCAAACTGCCCAAGACAATGGAAAAGTTACTTTATAAATAATGAGAGTACTGGGTGAGGTGACACACACTGCAATTCCAGAACGTCAGAGACGGAAGCAGGAGGATCAGGAGTTCAGGTTCATCCTCTATTAGATATCAAGTTCAAGGCCAGCCTGGAGTATATGAGATTCTGTCTCACACTGAAAAATCAAATAAATAAAACAGATAAGAAGATGTGGTATGCAGATGCCGGCAGTCAGTGTTAGCTGATACAAGTACTCCTGTTCCTCTCTCTTAAGGATACAATTAATCTTTAGATTCAGGGAAGGAGAAAGTACATAGGTATGGAGAATAAGTAGAGTAATACTTTTTTTAAAAGATTTATTTATTTATTATGTAGACAGTGCTCTGCCTGCATGTATGCCTGCAGGCCAGAAGAGGGCACCAGATTTCATTACAGGTGGTTGTGGTTGCTGGGAATTGAACTCAGGACCTCTGGAAGAGCAGTCAGTGCTCTTAACCTCTGAGCCACTTCTCCAGCCCCCGAGTAATACTTTTTAGAACATCTTTGATAAGTTTTTACAGAGGAAATAACTTGAAGCCCCAAGTCTAAGATAAACAGGGCAGGGTTAATAAATGCAACAAGAGAGACCATAAATTAATAAGTACTAAAACAGGATAACAGGTAAACTGGAGCTCCTTCTTCTACTCATTCCACTTCATGACTTTTGATTCTGACAAAATGAAAAATAGCAAAATGAGGGCCCAGGAAGATGGTTCAGCCAGTTATAGGTGCTTGACACACAGCCTGACAGCCTGAGTTTGACACCAGAGCCCACATGGTAAGTGGAGAGAACCAGCTCTACAAAACTGTCCTCTGACCTCCACATGAGTGCTGTCATGTATGCGCCTTCACACACACACACACACACACACACACACACTCACACACACACACACTCACACACACACACACTCACACACACACACTCACACACACTCACACACACACACTCACACACACACACTCACACACACACACTCACACACACACATACACTCACACACACACACTCACACACACACACTCACACACACTCACACACACACTCACACACACACTCACACACACACTCACACACACACACACTGACTAATAATATACATTGTTTAAGAAACAAAAGAACTCTGACATAAATGTTATTAGTCCCTTGTTACAAATGAGAGCAGACACAGGAGCTTAAGGGGTCCAAGTTCACAGAGTCAGTAGAGTAGAGTCAGTGTGATCTGATGTAAAATCTGGCTGGTTTGGAAAATAACAGCAATAAAACCTCTTTCCATTGTGTTTTCTCTCTCTCTCTCTCTCTCTCTCTCTCTCTCTCTCTCTCTCTCACACACACACACACACACACACACACACACACACACACACACAGCAATAATCCTGCAAAGCTGTAGGGCACTTTAGAGTTAGCCAAGAGAATTACATGCATACTGTTGTCTGAGGAAGCCAGCTTTCTCACTCCTCTCCTATCCAGCTATCGCGGTTAGCAGAAGGATTTCTCTTGAAAACGTGCCTGGAAATTATGCAGATGAATGATGATTATCAGCATAAGATTCTGATTGACAACCTGCAGCACGCTGCCCAGGAAAGCAGCCAATCACCCACAATAAGCAGCAGACCAGCCTGCGATCTGAGGGATTTTTAAGGAGTCGGGTTATTATCTCTAACAGTCTCCGGAAGTCAGGCACTAACTGCTCCCAACTATCCACAAATCACCAAGGCTTGTAGAGTAGAGTAAGCAGTAGCTTCCTCTATTGTGGTTCTCATTGCAGTTTAGGACCAAGCAGATGTGCTCCCTGTTCAGAGGCATCTGGATGTCCTGGTGCCTCATCCTCCAAGCTGTTCAGAAGCATCTAAATGTCCCACACAAGGGCACAGCTCAAGGCCCACCCCTCCCTTCTGCTTTAAAAAACTTACTGGATTGAAATGGCCCCAAACACCTTGGGCTCCTACATCATCAAATTGAAGATCAAATCCATGTACACTGAAGAATCACATTTACCACTTAATCTGTCAACTACCACCAAAGTTAATGGACCAACTGCCCAACTGACCTGGTAGCAATAGGCTTATCACCTAACCAATTAAACACATTTTCTTTGCAGTGCTGCCAAGACTCAGTAAAAGCCTCTCCACCTGCCCCCTGTGGCCGAGCCACTTGCAGTCTGCAGATGCTCTGTTCATGAATCCTCGAATACTCAAGACAAACTCGTTAAAATTTCAGTGTGTTGGGCAGGAAAGATGGCTCAATGGTTAAGAGCACTCGCTGCTCTTCCAGAGTCATGAGTTCAATTCCCAGCAATCACACAGCAGCTCACAACCATCTAATGGGGTCTGATGCCCTCTTCTGGCATGCAAGCATACATGCAGATAGAATACTGATACATAAAATACATTTAAAAAAAATTCAGTGTGGGCCGGAGGGTGGTCCTAGCGCTTGGGAGGCAGAGGCAGGCAGATCTCTGCGAGTTCTAGGCCAGCCTGGTCTACAAGAGCTAGTTCCAGGATAGGCTCCAAAGCTACAGAGAAACCCTGTCTCAAAAAAAATATTTTTTTCAGTGTGTTTTATTTTTTTTTGTGTGTGGGGGGGAGAGAATGGAGCTCTTACACAGTCTGTTCTCTTGTTCTCCTGCCTTAGGCTACTAGTGC